AAAGACAAAGGAAAACTTGAAATCGCATCATATGACCCCTTTAATGCATTGTGTTTCCTTCTGGAGCATCAGTGAGTATTTGAACTTTTTGTAGGGATGCACCAAAATTTCGACAGTAAATTTCTATGTAGTATACTTGTTCCTGTTTGCATTAGCACACTGTTTCAGTTTTCAGCCAAGTGCATCCAGAATTCTCGGTTTCGGGCCAGAATTTTCATTTCCGTTTATCCCTAACTTTTTGTAATAGTTGCATGTCCCTCAGTTGTCCTTAGTGTGAAAAGATGGATCTCCAAATCATACAGTCATTGTTGGAAAGGGTTCAAAAATGCAAAAGATTCTGGAAAACCAAAGAATTTGTGGGACCTGAAGGATTTTTCTGAAGAACAGCAGGCAGTTTAACCGTTCAGGACAAACAAGGGACTCATGAACAACTATCACAAAACAAAAAACAGCTGTGAATCATCCAGGTAACAACACCGTATTAAGAATCAAGCGTATGTAAATTGTTATTGTTATAAATTCAACTATTTTCTCTTATGGACTATATGTAAATGTCTTTTATGTGAAATATCTTATTCAGGTCAGTACTAAATAAAAAATAACATGCATTTTGTATGATTCCTCTTATTTTGGTAAAATAATTAACATTTTGCAGATACAATTACAATTATTATTACAATTCTTAAAAATCATGACAAAAATTTATTTATTTAGTATTATTAAATATTATTAATATGTATAAATAGTGGCAGTGGGGTTATGGTATGGGCAGTAGGGGTGTGCGATATATATCGTCTGCGATAATAACGTAATTGTTGTTTTAACGATGTGCGATTTGACATTATCGAGTATTTTGCAAAAACCATTCAAAACAACCCTACAGAGCGCACGCATACATTACGTGAAGTCTAGACTAGTGCGTGTGCGCATTTAGTGTGTTTTCTTTCACTTTGAGTTCAGCTCATGAACAACAAAAGTGTTGCATTTATAATTTTGTTCAGTGTATATATAATTTTTAGGGCCATTAATTTCATGTTAGATATGGTTTAGCTCTTAATCTCCTCACTATTAACAAAAAAATCCATTCTGCAGCCTCTTCTGGTTTGACACATTTATAAGACATTACTTCCTATCTCCCTGCAGGAAGTCCACTGACCCCTCGCGGTTAATGACTTGGGACACCAGCTAGCGGTTAGCATTAGCATCAATCACTCCTTCCTCTCCACTCCTCTGTCTATCTACTTTTAGGCTTTCTTGTGGAGTGTATCAGTCATTCAGAGTTTTCTGTCTGCTGTTTCCTCTCTTTTGGGTCAATTTGAGCGCAAAATAAGATGACCTTTCAGGGCATTTGGGCGTGCAACAATCCAGATGTACGAAAAAGGAATTCTGGGAATTCCAGACCACTGAGGTTACAGTGTGTGGATCATAAGAGGTTATCGGCTATGAGTCAAACTAAGCTGTAGGAGTTTTAAAGAGATTGTGATATAACTCGGCAGACTTTTGACAGGAATGACAGTAGTTAGTACATTCTGATGAGGAGCTAGTATGTTTCTGATGATTCATGTATGGAATGAGCCTCCATTGTGACCCTGAGCAAGACTTCAGATCCCTGTTATAAGTTTATGACACATTTTAATGGAAGCTTTAGCTCTGTTACAAAACTTAGTGAGCTGCCTTGATGCCTACTGACTGCAGGCAGTACACTAACTGAAATGGAATCTCATAAGCTTTTGATTTAGAACACTCTACAGAGGCAACAGCTAAACACACCACATATTTGAGATTCCCCTTTTGAAGTGCACTTAATTGTATTGAATGTGCACTTGAATTTCCAGTCTTAAAAATTTGTTTTTTTTAATGTACTTGCAGATATAATATGAAAGAAATAAAAGGCCACCTAAGTGTACTTAAACAGTACACTTTTAAAAAGTGCACTTTGTTAAAATGTTATTAAAACAGTTCATTGTTTTAATAATCTTTTGTCAGTGCTTTAAAGTGCACTTATTTTGATGTTGACAAACATACTAAAGCACATCGTGTTGTTTGATATTGCATTTAAAGTTAATATTTTAAATCTACTAAATTGCAACTTCATTGACAATGTGTAATTTCAAATATATTTAAATACATGACACACAAGTTTCAGTAGAAATTACATTAAAGTATATTTTAGTTTACCATAAATGCTTGTCAGTAAATTTGGCAGTGCACGTATAATATTTCAAAGACAATAAGGAATTAATTGAAATTACATGCTTAAGTGGGTCAAAAAGCACTCTTAACTAATTGCATTTAATATAAATTTAAACTATGATATTTTAACTTAATTATAAATAATATGCAATTAAGTGTCCAAAAACATTACATTCTACTCGCACTTAAGTATATTATTTTAAAGTATGTTATTTCTCTTTTTAAAAGTATGCTAAAATGTACTTCTTTTTCACAATTGTCGACATTTGAATTAGTTGAAATTTGATGTTAGCATATTGCTAAGCTAAGATACAACACACTATGCATAAAAATACAGACACATGGTCCATTTTTAATGAGTTTGAAATGCTTTAATTGTGAACTTTTTTTATTGCATCAGTAATGTATATTAATAATTCAATAACAATTCTTTCATCTCTTTCCATCATGGATTGACTTTTTCACTTAGCTGATTCATTTTGGTTTTGTCCAACAACCTTCCTTAAGCTCCACATTGATGTTGTTTCTTTGCAGCTCCACTGTTTGAGAAATCAGACAATGTCATGAAAGAAGGAACGTGCTCGGCCACATGTGAAGACTTCCATCAGATGAAGATGACCGTTCTCCAACTCAAACAGAAGGTGCCCTTTTCCAGTTTCACCTGCAAGGCTTATTCGCTAAAACGAGCAGCAGATTTCCTTTTATATGCATGTTCTCATTCATAGACGTGAGCCGACCCAACGAGAACCTACCTGCCAATGTTTCACAAGCAAGTCAGACTCAGGTTATACAAGTCTTCAGGGATGTGTTGGTGACTTTATAGGCAAAATAAAAAGCGATAAAACACGGGCTGAATGGCTGAGCAATCTGGTGGTGTGACTTATGTCTGTCCTTGCTGCAGGCTAGTAAATCACGTTGAATGCAGTGATGCGGTTTAGACGGGCTGCAGTCAAAGCGAGACTGTCAACAAATCCACTCAGCACCCTCATGGTCACGGCATGATATATAGCTCTTGTGCATGTGGTCCAGCAGACTATGAGGGAAAAAATTTAGAGTAAAAAATGTGACGAACTAGTGAGAGTGAGGCTAGACTTATGGTTTTATGAGAAGGTGACACAAAAACATTGATATGATTGTTACAAATGGTTTTTTTTTCTGTCCATTGTTTTAATTTCCCACCTATTGCTTTGTTTGGAAAAGGTTATATTGGTTTGCTCATGTTTTATTTATTATTAATGTATTTTTAGATTTATTAATGTTTTTTTTTTTTTTCAGTTTAAAATATTATTATATTATATTATAGTATATATTATTTTATATTATATATTATGTTATATTATAATAACTGTGTATAGTAACTGTGAAATTATTTTTACCTTTTAAGATGCCTTTTTGGAGAATGCAGTTCCAGAATGCAATGTGACAAGCTCAGTTAAATTTAACCCATGATGATAAAAATGTAATAATTATATAAAAATTTTAATACATTTTAAATAATTATATAAATATTTTTTGGTCAGTATGTAATTCAGCGTGTTCAAAAAGTTTGTGGTCGGTGTGTAATATATCAATATAAAAATGTAAGTGAAATTCATAGTATACTATTTTAGTGCAAAGACTATTGCGTTGGTACTAAATCAGTCATTTATGAGGTTTAATAACTGTTAGGATTGTGCTTTAGGAGGTAGTTTACTGTGTAGGCATTTGACTGCAATGTTTCCTAGGTTTTGGAACAGAACTGTAGTGTTTTAGTTCATCTGCAGATCTTTTATTCAAAATGGACTGTTCTTCACAGCACATAATTCTGCTAATCTCTCGCAGCATCATAAGTGGTTGACATTGGCACTCGGTGCAACGTGGGATTGAAATATGTGCAGTCCGACACAAATCAAAACCAGAAACAATGACAAATGAGATTTAAATTGCTTGCAAAGGGCTGGACACAGACACTTACACAGATTTATGCACTAGGCCTAGGGCTGTATCTACTGTGTGTGGCGATACCTCAAAGGTCTGTGTGTGTGTGTGTGTGTGTGTGTGTGTGTGTGTGTGTGTGTGTGTGTGTCTCCCTTTGGGGACGTCCTCATTTGTAAAACTGGTATAAAAATAAAAAAAAAAATTTAAATTGTAAAAATGCAGAAAGTTTGCTGTAAGGGGTAGGTTTAGGTGTAGGGTTGGTGTAGGGCAATAGAATATACGGTCTGTACAGTAGAAAAACAATTAGGCCTATGGAATGTCCCCATTTAGATAGCTAAGTAAACGTGTGTGTGTGTGTGTGTGTGTGTGTGTGTGCGTGTGCTGATGTCCAGAGGTTAGAAGGTAATGGATACTTCCAGTGAGTCCTTTGAAGTGAAATACTCTGCGAAGAACACTTGGAAAAGACAGGCACTGATCTCAGTCCATGCACCAAGTTGAATAATTCAGAGATTTCCTGTTTTTGCGAACAGCATGTACACAGATGTTACAGTTTATAGATCATATTACATGCTCACGTTACTTTGGTTTAAATTATAATTCTCTTATTTACCTTGTAATATTATATATTTTAGCCATTCCCTCCTGTCAGATTAGTTGCTATCAGGTGACAGTAACGTCCTTATACGTTTTCTTAAAGGATTAGTTTAACCAAATTTACTCAGTTATGTCGCTGAATAATCAGGGGCTAGTTGCATAAACTTAGCCACTATGTTAAGATGGTGTCTTAAGAACTAGTTTGACCAACTAGCAGTTAGCCAAGGGGTAAGAAGTCTTATTTTTCAGATTCAAGTTAGTCCAAGCTATGTTATAATGCAAGAGTTTCAAAAAAGTTAGGACCAGTCTTAAAGAACAATCATTCATAGTGACATGTCTGTCAAAAAATCTCCATTGGGCTTGTGCTCTTTATTCCCAAGCCCTTTATTTATTTGTTTCTTTATTTTTATTTTTTTCATGTTTATTTAATTTTATTGTTGTCATTTTATTTTTTATTTATTTTTTTATTTAATTTGTCATTTTATTCAATTTTATTATATATTTGTTTTATTTAATTTGATCATTTTTATTTTACTATTTTATTTTATTTTATTTTAGAGCAGCATGAAGATTCTTTCTTGAAGATTCTTACCACAGAAAATAAATAACAGCATATTGGGTTTGGATCAGCATAAGAGGGAGCAAATAATGACATTTATTTTCATCTATGGATTACTATTCTTGTAAAACTGACTGTTAATCTTGCATTCTTGGTTTATTGAGCTTCAGAACCAAAAAACTAGTGCATGTCATGTTTCTGTTCAGTCTTTTCCAGTCCTGTAGTGCAAGAAACAGCGAGACCCTGGATGATCCGCTTGTTTTGTATAACTCTCCTTTCCTCAGATTGCCGTATTGCCAAGCAGCACAGAGGTCAATAAACAGATGACCAATGAAAAGATGATGATGACACATTCGTTCTTACCTGGACCTCCAGGGCCACCTGGGCCTGCAGGTGAGCTTTGTTAATATGCTGTTTATTTTCTCCATTCTTTTCCTAATTCCATTCTTCTGTAAACCTGTCACTTTTTATGTCTCTCTCAGGGAGCCCAGGGCCCAGAGGTTCCCCTGGTCCCCCAGGACAAATGGGGCCACCAGGCATGCCTGGTCCCAGAGGCGACATGGGGCCCATGGGACCCTCACCAGACCTGTCGCATATCAAACAGGGACGCCGTGGCCAAGTGGTAAGTATAAGTCTTTATAAGTAACCTAGAAGCTTCATAAACCATGTATTATCAGCTGTAATCAGTATCTGAAGTGTCAGATTTGAGGACTTATGTGTAGTTCATTCTCCTGCATCTGTAATAATTATAATATTTAGCCTAGCATAAGCACATAATCTGATTGCACTGCTCCATTAATTCTTGATGTTTCGCTTTGGACACACTGCATTGGTGTTGTTTTCCAGTGTCGTTTGTCTCTGCTGCGCCATTAAGCTCTATGAAGATAACTCACTTTGGCTCAGCATCTATCTTGTGACATCTGGATGGCCTGTGGTTTACATTCTTTAATATGAGTCTCGATGGGTGTCCACATTTATTATGACTTACTAAAGGATGTACTAAAGCAGGTTCAAGGATGTAATGCAGGGGTTGCTCTATTCTATGCCTGGAAATCTACTTTCCTGCTAAGGTTTAGTTCTAGTCCTCCTATAACACACAGACCTGTCACTGTTAAATGACCCTTGAGACCTCGAATAAAGACCTGTTGACACCTGAAGGAGCTAAATGACATGAAAGTAAACAGTATTTGCAAAATATTATTTTTTTTCTTGTAACAGTCGCCCTCACTTGAAAACTAAGACACTGTTTTCTGTAAAGCCGCTTTCGAAACGATGGGGGTATATAAGCTAAAATATATTTTTTAAATTATTAATAATAACATAAGAATTCATATATGTTTTTTATTATGTAGCAATTTGTTTAGTAAAATAATACATAAAACTATAATATAATCAGTGTTCTTTTAGTATTTTATATATATATATATATATATATATA